CGGCTAATACCACTCGCATCGGCACCTTCTTGGCCTGATGGGGTATGTCGTATTTCTCCACCACTCGGGGTGAGATCATTGTTCGTGCAGCACCACTATCTATGGTCGCTGTCATCCTATGTCCGTTTACTAAGACATTTGTTCGAAGTCTAAGGTCCTGCGTGCCTACGCTCTTGACTTCCTTGAGGGTCGTTTTAGGACTGCCTTCACCAGCGTGACCCTGTCCCTGGTGGCATCCTAGTTTTTTGTCGGCCTACTCTTCCTCTGTCTAGGAAAGTAGCCTGCGCCGTACTTGGCGTCTTGGTGTATTGTGCAATAGTCGTTGTAGCAGAAGGACCAGTGTAAGAGTTCATGACGCTCTTCACTGTCCTTAACTCGTTGCTTCGGCATTCGAGACGTCGTGACTTTCGACTGCTTTTCTCGGTGCATACGATATTCCGTTGCATTACATTCCTCAGCGTTTACCGTTCCGTGGTAGTAGCTGGCCGGGTTCAAGGCTTCCTTATACTGCGTCCTGTGATACTGACACATGCTTTCACAGTTCACCCAACACAGCCGTTGGTGAGCTCGATCTTGCTTCTCGGGTCCATAGATATGACATTGCTCCACTAGACACTCATATGTCTCTAGATGTGTGTGGCAACAGTCATTGTCGTTTTTTCTTGATTTCTGCTTTTCCTGGTAATGCTTCTTGCATTTCTTCTAGCTGCAGTTAACCTAGTGCAAATCTTTGTGTTGCGTCATGCGTGCCTTGAACAAGTGAGGGTTTCGTTCCTCAATTTGAGCTTCGGGGCTCTCGAGGCGTGGTTGTTCGTGAATCGCTTGATACCCGATCTCTTCAGCGTTAGGGCCCGTAATCGCGATACGTCCCCGCTGATGGCAATCGTCTGCCTGGTGTGCGGCGTCTCCGCAGACCCAGCATTGGTGATTCCTTAGGCGGCTCTGAATCTCAGCCCCGTCAATCTTCCAATCTGTTTCCTGTGGTATGTCCCATCGGACATTCTTGGCTCCTAAAGCTTCTTGTACCATCTCGAAGGCCTCGTCGCTCTCTTGGCGCGCCTCCTCGTACAAGTCCAAGTCACTGAGGCTGTCGTCGGGTTCCGTGACTGGTGGGTAAGGCGTCCCACTCCTGATCATCCCGATCTTGATTTGACCTTGCCTGACTTCGTTTTTTAGGCAATCTCTGCGGAAGTGTCCTACTTCACCACATTAGAGGCATGCCTTCTTTTCGTAACGCTTCTGGCGTTCTTCCTTAGAAAGGCCATCCTGGCCCCTTCCTCGGGTGTTCCAGTTCTTGTTTTCTTGCACCTTGCTAGTCATGATGGTGTCCCTATCCCTGTCTTTGTGGTTGCGTTGCTTCTTCATATTAGCCGTCGTGGGCTGGAACGTCTTTTTCTGTTCATATCGTTCCCACAGCCTGTGGTCAATTCGCGTGGCTAGCTCTATCAGAGCGTGAAGCGTTGTTGGCTTTTCATGGTGTACAAGACCGTCTTTTATATTTTCCTTCAGTCCTGCCTCGAATACGGTTCGTAGCGCAGCATCATCCCAATCGATTCTTGCCTGTAGCTGTTTAAATTCTGCCGTATACTTCGAGACTGACTTAGTCTGCTTCAGGCGAGTTATCGCTTTCTCTGCCTGGTTCTTGGCGTCTACTTCCCCAAAGATGCGTCCCATCTCTTCCTTGAAGTGTTTCCAACTGGCGAATAAGGACTGTGTCTCAGCCCTTGTACCTTGGTCTGCGCTGTTCGATACGTAATCTTCTACGTATGGTTGAATCCAGTTTGCTGCCCTTCCTTTCATATAGGTACTGGCCATGAGGATCTTTCCTTGGTCAGTCGGGACTTCGTTGAATTCGCAATATAGGTCCATGTTGGTGAGGAATGGTCGTAGCTCGTATCTTCCTCCTTCATACTTCTCGGGTGGCGCCATCTTGGGTTTCTTTAACACCTTTTTTTCATTCAAGGTGGCCATCAGCTGGCTTAAAAGCTGATTGATCATATCTTGCATGCTAGCCATCTGCTGCTGCGTGATCGTGGCCTGTCGCCTAAGATTCCGCAACTCTCGTAAGTTTCGTGCGTCTTCGTCGTCTTCTTCGTCGTCACTTGGGGTCAGCATTTCGTCGTCGATTGCTGGTCGTGGTGCTAGTGCAGGTTCCTGTACTGGTCCACCATTGCTTGCCTGGGATTGAGAGTGATTGTGAGACATCTTGAATCTTAATCGGGCGACCTGTTGGTTAATCCTTCCACAAAGACTTGGTGGTGGTCAAAGTGTTACACGGGGTGGATTGCTGATACTTCTCTAATCTCGTTCCGGGTTAGGGCGAGCGAGCCTTTACGGGATCAGCTCCGTGGGATTTTGCCGTATGTTCTTGGTGGAAAAGAGTTATAGGAGTTAACCAAAGGTTAATTAACAAATCCAATCTATATTGCTATAGATTAACAAGTAACAATCTTGTTAAGTAAAGATACTAGTAAGACAGTACAATTTGAGTTGACCACAACGAGAGTAATAATGAAATCCATCCATCCTTATATCCTCATTGCTTCCAGTCCTGACATCTGTGGCATCTCCTGAATGCCCTGGCATCTTGAGATGTTCGAGACGTTCTGGCATCTCCCGGTGTTGTGGCATCTGTCCTCTTGGCAAGATGTCACCTCTCGGCGAGATGCCAAGTCACGTGATCCTCGCCCCGCGATGATCATTACCTTCTGACGTGGACGTCCATAGGCCTTCAGCCATCTCGTCATTTGTCAAGGAGAGAATCC